GGCACACGCTTTGGTACGACAACGTCACGTGCTGGTCGCGCGAAAACGTCATCTATGCAGACCGAAAAGTGTAGTGACTAGTGTGGTTGCGTACCGACTTGTACAGAGATATGCATGAAAATTTGTACTGTGATTTTTACGTAGTGTGGTTGCGGCCTAACTTCAGGGCTAGTACTTGTACAGAAACACGTGGGCGCCATTTTGGTTCACGTGACATGTGCCCCACCATGCTGTGTACAGGGAATCTTGCCGTACTTCGCGTCGACTCTGGCCTGTTCAAATCCACGCAAGTGAGCCACAGTTCTCTCTAGCAGGCTGAGATTTTGCAGGCACCGAGTTCAGATGCGGGCAAAGGGATTCACCGAAGGATTTTTTGATTTTCGCAATTTGGACCTCAAATAACACCCTCAAACTCGGTAAACGTGTCCCACCTCTAGGATCGTTTTGGCGAAATTCGCTTCGGTCAAAGTATGGAGCATCTCCTACTGAAAATTTTGAGCCATCGATTGTCAAAATCGGCTCATGCGGAGCTCACTTGTGTCGTTTTGAAGGACGCCGCGCCACGCGCGATCTGCGCTGGTTCTTTCACAAACGGAAGACACCTTCCAGTCAGAACTGCAGACTGTGACAGTGCAGTGCGCACGGCAAGGAAAAGGAGACGTGCATTTTCCATTTGTTGCACTGTGTCCTTTGCTTTTATTGTTCACTGATAACATGTTCGCAAAATCTTGAGCTAGAGAGAAGACTGACTTACAATCTGATTCATCTAGGCTTCAGCGTGATGCACGTATCCAGACCATAGGAAATATTAGAGTCATGGGAAAGGAACCGGGAACCACGAGAATAATTTTCTGGAGCGAATCCAATTATTACCATGGTTCCTTGTTCTTGAACACCGCGCTCCACATCGTCAATGTTCTGCGAGGTAAGGATTTCAGGACTACTGTCGGTTTATTCGACCTCTGGGCGATCTGATCTACGTCCAGCTGGCCATGATACTGAGCCGAACTGGCCACTAGTTCGCTTCTTTCTCGACTCGGGATAATCAAGCCGGTCAGAGTGCGACTTTTTCCTACCCTGGATGCGACCCATGGCGCGGACTGAAAATAACTACTGAACACCTCCTTGTACAAGCACTGACATACAAGACCGGTGGTGGATACAAACTGACAACAGGAAACCCTAACAGCACCCGCTCTGTCAAAGAAAGTCGAAGGGAAGCAGTTCGAACTAGTTCAAGCACCACCAAAAAATAAAAAAAACTAGCACTTGCTCTTGCAGCTAGGTCAAAGACTGCACTGGCAAGTACACTTTTGCACAGTCGCGATCTCGCGGCCCCGCATCACGTGCGGGTATCTGATGACGTAGAGTGATTCAAGATGGCCTCTGACGTGTTTGCCGTTTTGTGATCCCAAATACCAGCCCTGAACTTGACTGGTGGTATGGTGTTCCCGAGGCGGTGTACGGAAGACTACACAGGCCAGGGTACAAAACGACAGGATAGCGCTAATGCCACATGCTCCGTGTTCGATCGAAATCGAAATGTGAACTCTGCCTGATGCGCTTGTGTTTCGATTTCGATGAACAAGGACTACAGTGCAGTATGCAGTAGCTAGCTGTACATGTGGGCCGTGGGACGGTCCCTCTCCAAGACTGTGACATGTTACAGACAGATCTGTGCCTGTGGTAGTTTCCCTCATCTTTGCCCAAATGGCAATCTTGGACTGCACTAGCACTGGAGGCAGTTGGGGGGGGGGGGGGGGGGGGTCGTCTGGCTGCACTCTACAGCTCCCCTGGCTCTGTCTTCTTGCATAAACAGAGTCAATGCACAATGACTCAATGTACATCATGGTACATGGCGGGCTGCCGCTACAGCCTACAGTAGTGGCTCAAGTAGCATTAGAAATAGAAGAAAGTAAGCGCACCCCCCCCCCCCCCCCCCCCAGCCCGAACATACATACATGTAGCTGAGGCGATAAAGAGAGACTTGTATAGTATTGCTTTGGAGACTGACTATGCACAAGCAGCACTATGCACAAGCAGCACTATGCACAAGCAGCACTATGCACAAGCAGCACTATGCACAAGCAGCACTATGCACAAGCAGCACTATGCACAAGCAGCACTATGCACAAGCAGCACTATGCACAAGCAGCACTATGCACAAGCAGCACTATGCACAAGCAGCACTATGCACAAGCAGCACTATGCACAAGCAGCACTATGCACAAGCAGCACTATGCACAAGCAGCACTATGCACAAGCAGCACTATGCACAAGCAGCACTATGCACAAGCAGCACTATGCACAAGCAGCACTATGCACAAGCAGCACTATGCACAAGCAGCACTATGCACAAGCAGCACTATGCACAAGCAGCACTATGCACAAGCAGCACTATGCACAAGCAGCACTATGCACAAGCAGCACTATGCACAAGCAGCACTATGCACAAGCAGCACTATGCACAAGCAGCACTATGCACAAGCAGCACTATGCACAAGCAGCACTATGCACAAGCAGCACTATGCACAAGCAGCACTATGCACAAGCAGCACTATGCACAAGCAGCACTATGCACAAGCAGCACTATGCACAAGCAGCACTATGCACAAGCAGCACTATGCACAAGCAGCACTATGCACAAGCAGCACTATGCACAAGCAGCACTATGCACAAGCAGCACTATGCACAAGCAGCACTATGCACAAGCAGCACTATGCACAAGCAGCACTATGCACAAGCAGCACTATGCACAAGCAGCACTATGCACAAGCAGCACTATGCACAAGCAGCACTATGCACAAGCAGCACTATGCACAAGCAGCACTATGCACAAGCAGCACTATGCACAAGCAGCACTATGCACAAGCAGCACTATGCACAAGCAGCACTATGCACAAGCAGCACTATGCACAAGCAGCACTATGCACAAGCAGCACTATGCACAAGCAGCACTATGCACAAGCAGCACTATGCACAAGCAGCACTATGCACAAGCAGCACTATGCACAAGCAGCACTATGCACAAGCAGCACTATGCACAAGCAGCACTATGCACAAGCAGCACTATGCACAAGCAGCACTATGCACAAGCAGCACTATGCACAAGCAGCACTATGCACAAGCAGCACTATGCACAAGCAGCACTATGCACAAGCAGCACTATGCACAAGCAGCACTATGCACAAGCAGCACTATGCACAAGCAGCACTATGCACAAGCAGCACTATGCACAAGCAGCACTATGCACAAGCAGCACTATGCACAAGCAGCACTATGCACAAGCAGCACTATGCACAAGCAGCACTATGCACAAGCAGCACTATGCACAAGCAGCACTATGCACAAGCAGCACTATGCACAAGCAGCACTATGCACAAGCAGCACTATGCACAAGCAGCACTATGCACAAGCAGCACTATGCACAAGCAGCACTATGCACAAGCAGCACTATGCACAAGCAGCACTATGCACAAGCAGCACTATGCACAAGCAGCACTATGCACAAGCAGCACTATGCACAAGCAGCACTATGCACAAGCAGCACTATGCACAAGCAGCACTATGCACAAGCAGCACTATGCACAAGCAGCACTATGCACAAGCAGCACTATGCACAAGCAGCACTATGCACAAGCAGCACTATGCACAAGCAGCACTATGCACAAGCAGCACTATGCACAAGCAGCACTATGCACAAGCAGCACTATGCACAAGCAGCACTATGCACAAGCAGCACTATGCACAAGCAGCACTATGCACAAGCAGCACTATGCACAAGCAGCACTATGCACAAGCAGCACTATGCACAAGCAGCACTATGCACAAGCAGCACTATGCACAAGCAGCACTATGCACAAGCAGCACTATGCACAAGCAGCACTATGCACAAGCAGCACTATGCACAAGCAGCACTATGCACAAGCAGCACTATGCACAAGCAGCACTATGCACAAGCAGCACTATGCACAAGCAGCACTATGCACAAGCAGCACTATGCACAAGCAGCACTATGCACAAGCAGCACTATGCACAAGCAGCACTATGCACAAGCAGCACTATGCACAAGCAGCACTATGCACAAGCAGCACTATGCACAAGCAGCACTATGCACAAGCAGCACTATGCACAAGCAGCACTATGCACAAGCAGCACTATGCACAAGCAGCACTATGCACAAGCAGCACTATGCACAAGCAGCACTATGCACAAGCAGCACTATGCACAAGCAGCACTATGCACAAGCAGCACTATGCACAAGCAGCACTATGCACAAGCAGCACTATGCACAAGCAGCACTATGCACAAGCAGCACTATGCACAAGCAGCACTATGCACAAGCAGCACTATGCACAAGCAGCACTATGCACAAGCAGCACTATGCACAAGCAGCACTATGCACAAGCAGCACTATGCACAAGCAGCACTATGCACAAGCAGCACTATGCACAAGCAGCACTATGCACAAGCAGCACTATGCACAAGCAGCACTATGCACAAGCAGCACTATGCACAAGCAGCACTATGCACAAGCAGCACTATGCACAAGCAGCACTATGCACAAGCAGCACTATGCACAAGCAGCAATGCACAAGCAGCAATGCACAAGCAGCAACGCACAAGCAGCAACGCACAAGCAGCAACGCACAAGCAGCAATGCACAAGCAGCAATGCACAAGCAGCAATGCACAAGCAACAATGCACAAGCAGCAGTGCACAAGCAGCAATGCACAAGCAGCAATGCCAATGGGCACAGGGTGGAAACGGTACACGTCACCAGGGTCACCTTCCATGCATGGCTGGGGTGAGGAACACCAACACAGTAGGTGGATGACTCCCACAATCCAACAGCCCAACAACATCGGATTGTATTCTCTAATGCACGGCAGGGGCGGAATTAGGCGCTCCACATACATGTTCATACGTATAAACACACACACTGAACCGCAAATCCCCCGCTCCTTGCACCCCCCCCCCCCCCTCATCATACTTGTTGG